ATATATATATTCATTATAATAATTTACTGCTATTATCAAAAATATAATTTATTTTATCAATTTACTAAACGATTTTTAAATGAAAGATTAAAACATGAAATTATAAATAAATAAATTTTTATTATAATGTATTTAACTATTTAAATTAAAATATTTTATCTATTTTCAAATTATTATAAGTTTTTCATAGTTTATAATATTTAATTAGATTACGTAACAAACTTCAACGATAAAATTAAATCGTAACTAAAGCGAAGTATTAAATATAATAGTAAAATGATATTTATACGATTTATTTACTACATTTATACATTAAAACAGTATAATTAAGTCAATAACCACTTACTTCTGAACTTCTTAATGTTTCCGCGAGCCGCTTCCTTCTTAGTCGGTAGATGATAGACTGAAATAAAATACGAAGCGCCGTAATGCCTTCTGGTGGCGAATAATGAAAATATAGTCACGTGACTTTCATTCATTCGCTTTTACTCGATATTATTACGATCGACGTTTTGATTATATCACGTAATTTACGAAATTATTTACGCAATAAAATAATGAGGAAAAAATAAATAAATTTAACGTCTTTTTAAATCAATAAATTACTAAGTTTACTTACACACTTGCATTAAGTAGACTACTAAAATTACATTATAAAATTATTTTTTTTTAATTTGAAATTTTATTAGATATTTTATAAAGGCGATTAAATGATTTTTAACATTTTTTTTAAAAATAAATAATTAAAATTCTATCAGTTGTTTATCTATTATCAAGATTGAAATTCTACTTACTATTCTGCCAATTTATTTAGATGTGTAACAACGTAGATAACTTCGATATACCTTTTTTTTCTTCTTCTTCAATACCGTTCCTTGTAGACTTACAAGCAACGAGTTCTGAATACCTCAGATAAACACGCTTTTATTCGATAAGCGATGTGGCATATAAGAATTCTTCGCAGCAAGTAAAATAATGCGAAACCTTCTATTTACTTAATATTATCGTGTTTCGCTGTAAGCTCAATTAAACCGACATATGTATTTATTTTCCTTTTGATATTAAATTGTTCTCATTTATTTTTTTAAATGCAAAAATGCATTAATAAAATTAATAGCAATATTTTCCGATTTAATTAACTTACACCAATTACTAGTTATTTATAGTTTCCATGTGTTATTGAATAGTGTTTTTATAAGGCTAATTTTTTTTTTAATATTAAAATGTTTTATGAATTATTAAATATTTTGAACGAAATTTAAATATATTATAAAATTAATTTTAT